TTCCCAATGTGCGTGTAGAGCTTCGACATCGAGCAAAACTCCTTCGAACTGATTGCGATGAGGTCGTTTTGTCATGATGTAGGTCTTCTTCGCTGGGTGTGATGGCGCGTGTTGACAATGTGCTCGTATTTGGCGACGTTGAGCGCCCACCTTTGTTTTTGATGGGGATTTAGGTGATGTTCGCGGTTGAATGTTCCTGGAGCTTGATAACGTTGATCAGTGAACTGAGGATTGCCTTGTTGCATAGTTGGGTATGGAGTGATGAAGGGGAGTAGGGTAAGACAAATAACAAATTCTGGTTGGCGTGGTCGTCATGTAAAGAACTCCGTGAGCACTCATGAACAGTTTTTGGAAGGAGGTATGAAGGTATTCTACAAAAGAAATGTACAAATGAAACGTACAAAAGCAATCAATTGAACTTTAATGCAGAGCAAATGCTAATTATGTTCGATCCAAAGGAGAACGTTCTTCTCTCAATCCAGCATTTTTACATTAAATAATGAAGTTGGTCTCATGATGACTTGATACATGTTCGAGTGGTATGACTGAGCCTTGATTTCTCTGTGGAGCTCTAACAATAAGAGGGATTCGCGGCCGTGAAAGTTGCAGAATCTTTATTTTGCCTAGAGCAATTGTGCCTTATCCTCGAAGCACCAAATAAAGATTATCAGGTTGGCGATCAAACATACATAACAAATACATCGGATGATGAGGCACAAAGGCGAATGGTGCAAAGAGGAGCTCGATAAGAGGTCGCAGTATCGGCCGCTGCTGTTAGACATCTCCCCTAATGGTGGCGTCGCTTTTGTCTCCCCCCTATGATGTGATCGGTCAGATTGGAGAACGAACAATTTAGAACCTAGCCAACCGCTACGCTTACAACGGGAATAGCTTCAAGTTTGGCTGGCACGATTCAGTTTGATTTCCCCTTCAAATTTTGAAGAAATGATGGCAGCCACTCCTAGTTTTTCAGTTATCCAGTTTGGTTGCAGGAAAAAACCATACTATTCGATCATATGGAAATTGAAATAAAAATGATGAAGTGAAAATGAAATATTATGAAAGTTTCCCGTCCTCTGAGCAATGCAGGCATCTTGCAGTTTTTAAGCGCCCCATCCATTCAACTTTGACTGGACATGCTAAAAATGCAGGACAATACTATTACTACAATACTCTATTCATACCTCACACCCATGGGTGGCTATCATTTATAGCTGGTAGAATCTAAATGTCAGCACTCCTCTTTAAACACGTTCACACTTCGCCTAGCTGGTCCAGTTTAAAGGACGAATTCACGCTGAAAAAGCAACCCATTTCAAATTAACCTAGGGATGGTGAGTGGTACACGAAAGAAGGAAGAACCATGAGAAACGGCCCAGAACCCGAGAAATGGGACCCCTTCCTTGCCCGTTGATTTGAGCATTGATGCGACTCTCATCGCTGTGCCCTCTTCAACACTACGCTCTCTCTGCTATCTAATCACTCGCCACGTATAGACTGCGGCGAGTGATCAGATGATCGGTGGGCGGAGATCGCCGGACCCGCCAACTTTGAGGCATGATAGGTCGCCGAGGTCAAATTTTTCATGCGAATTGCGCATCAGTTCGCACCCTCAGGAGGTCCGTGGGTCCCTCAACTAGGTCAGTTTACTTTTCTTCGACCTTCATTCTAATCGTAAATTCCTCCTTCTAATAATCGGTACAGAAAGAAAGCAAGTTTTGTTTGAGATCTCGGCTACTGTGAAAATGAAGGCCATTTATTATACAAGACCTCTGCTGAAACAGAATATGATTTGCACTCTTCACCTGCCCAGTACCGGCCATGTATTTCAATCAGAGCTTGGCCCATGTCATCGGTTTTTGATTGTTAATGTGAACATTAGGTCGGAGGAATGCAAGCCTGAGTCTCAGGACGGTACCGAGTGTAAATCACGAAATTGCCCATGTGTCTTATGCGCTGAAGGAATGAAACCTGGAAGTAGTTGAGCGACCTGGCGATGGTCGAGTGTTCCAGCTGGTTTGATGTAATAGTCGACGTGCCTTATCAAAGGTACCAGGTATCTCTATAAAGCCTGAAGCCACGCTATCTGCCTGATCAAACGCCTTTATGGTGGTGTTGTGAAGTAGGAGGGCAATAGAAGAAGTGAATAGCAAGGGTATAGTCCGTCATTACCCACTAATACTGCGTGCGGATCGAAGCAGAGTAGGGGGACGACGAAATGAGAAATTCAAAAAATGTAATGACATGACATAGAGTTTTGCAGTGATGCACCTCCTCGAAGGCACATGCCGCGATTCAATAGGTAAACGTCACTGAGTCGGAAAATTGGAGCAGTCACAGTGATTAATCAAACAATGATTACAGAAAGCGTAAACGCTGATAATGAAAATTACACTGCGCGCAGATAGTATGGGCTGAACTTGCAGTTGGCTAAGTGGTTCTCATTAGATTGTCAAATATTTTGGAATTTGGACGGTATTTTTCATAGGTGAGGTTCCGTCTGCAGAATCTACGATGACAATGGCTATCCCCTGCTAGCTGCCCCGAATGATTGCAGGAAAACTTCACGGAATACAGCGACAAGCCAATCTGCTTCACAACAACGCGCGTCGGCGCGGGTCTTCGGTCTCATGCCACAAGATCCTAGGCTGGACCGCGGATTGCCCATCGGCCATAATCGCCAAACCTATTCATACACGTCTTTCACCTTTCCTGTCGCTCTTCCACTAGCTGGGGAACAAAAAAATCGACGATGAAAAGAATCGCAGATCCGCTTAACTAATGCTTTTCGACGAAAATTCTTCCAATTCTACAGATGTGGTATCAGCCCGAAGGTTGGCGAATTATAGTTGCTGATGGTCGATATGTTAAGGGTTTCGGAATAAATAGAAAATAAAAAATAAATTCCAAATTTCGGCTGTGGGGTGTTTCAAAATCCTTTCCAACCTAATTTGTAATATAAAATTTTGCTAGGATTCCAGGCATGCCAAAAACGGCTGCGAGCTGATCCTTAAAGTGCCACAACTGCATGAAAACCATTTTTTTTACAGGACAACGAGCCACCTCGACGTGGGTTCATGGGATATGGAAGAAGAATTGCTAATATTATGTTTTCAGAGGTTAGGTTTTTCAAGATTGTGTCATATACTTACTTAGATACTTAGACGACCCGTCCATCTGCACGGCGGTTGGCCTTGCGCGGGTCCCAACTTCTTCTTCCATTGTTCTCGGTCTTGGAGCTATGGTTGTCCAGTGAACAGACACCTTAAGGGACACGGGATCAATACGTTGTTGCGATAAGCTAGAGAGTCTGCCCAACGTACTGGAGGACGGCCGGGTGGCCGTTTCTTTTCGCGCGGGTACCATCGCACAGTTGCAGCACTCCATCTGCCATCATTTCTCCTCATCAAATGACCCAGCGAATCTGTGTTTTGCCTCATCGACGTGAAGGAGGACGTCTTTCACTTTCGATATGGCCCTGATGTCCGAATTGTGAAGCTCTAGCTCTCGTTGTCGTCTCAAAGTGAAACCCACTAAACGGCGTTCGATCGATGCCTGGGCGGACTTCAATTGGATTTTGTTAGAGTCCAAGTCTCTCCTGCGTATGTGAGAGCAGGTAGAACCGTTGAGTTGAATAGATCCGCACGCAGTTTGCTATCCTTTAGTATCCTCGGTTACACTTCTTATGGATTTGAAGGCAGCCCAGCCTGCTTTGCGACGTCTGGTTAGCTCTCCAATCAGATCGTTCCTCATGTTCAATTGACTCCTGAGGTATATACCTCTCACGAGGTCAATATACCAAGGTATACCTCTCCCGGGAGTCAATTGAACATGAATACTTTTCAACGTCTCCAATTTCAATTCCATTCAAGAGGACAGGGTCATTGTCCATGAACGAAGTCCGCATCACTTTTGTTTTTGAGGTGTTGATGACCAGGCTATAACGACTTCCTTCTTCGTCTAGTTGATATAGCATCTCTGAGGAGTGTTCCGAAGATTCTGTGATCAGGACTATGTCATCAGCAAAACGCAGATGATTGAAACGTGTACCATTGACATTCACTCCAAAGTTGCTCCAGTCGCAGCGGCGTATGACAGATAAGGCATGCAGTGAAAAGATTTGGAGATATTGGATCACCTTGTCTTACTCCTTTTTCCACTGCAACCACGACGTCTCTGTGGAACGGATGAAATATTGTAATATAATAATAATATCGAAGCCTTGATCTTGTAGCGGGTTCCAAACCATCGTTGGCTCCACTGAAGTCGAACGCTTTTTTGTAATCGATGAAAGTCATTACGAGCGGTAAGTGATGTTCGCGAGATGCTTCAATGACTCGTCGACAGGTTACAATATGAACGAGTGTGCTGAAGTATGACTATGTCATATACATACCAAAATTTGGTCACTTTTTTAGACTGCCCTAAAAATTCATCTATTCACTTATTGGTTATTTTGTTTATTTGGTATGATAGAAGAGCAACCACATAGTAAGTTGAATCCAATATATAAGGAAGGCTATCCTCCCAGCTCTCAGCATGGATTGATACCCTCCCTTGGAGCTGTCATTAATCATTCCATGTACCCATTCTAACGGAATAGGTAGGGACGGAATTGAGTTGTGATAAGTGACGCTGCTTAACACACGCGCGGTTCGATGATCAACTCCTGGAATCGTGAGTCGCCCGGGCCAACCAAGCCTTCCATCCCTCCGGGGTCGGTTAATTGGTACCAGACTTGTCTGGGAGGATAAAAACACTGACTTGAACATCGGCTGGCCCCCGCAAGTCATTGTATAGGCCACATCGCATTCAAATGCCACTACGAATGTACAAATGGAAGTAGAAGCGTAACGCACCCCTAATAGGAGTTAATCATGGCCAAATGCTTTCCTTGCGGAATATGGCCTTTTAATTACCAGCAGAAACGAATATTACAGTAATTTTTTCCAAGCTGCTTTGAGCTCCTCCTTTTTCAAGGCTTACAAGTGATCAAAGTAATGCTGGTTGCCATGGCTATAATTTTTGCCCTACTTGCTACAGTAACAAGAGCAGTTTGTCTATTTTATCCATTCCTATTCGTGATCGTAAGCCTTATACACATTTTCCTGGCTTTTAGTCAATTTTAATCATCTTATCGAAGATAAAGTAGGTCTATGATTAAATCTACAATAACGATGATTTAGATTTTCGAATTCTCAAAACATTTGATAATTTTCTTCCTGGTGGCACTTAAACTTACCTATCCTGAAAAATATGTCGCAATAATTGGTACACAAGGTAGGTCCAGCAGGCGAACGCCTCTATCAATTGCAAAGATCTTACCGGGAAAGTACCTCACGAGATGGTACTCACGAGATGGTATTCCAAACACTAATGCAGTTATAGGGGCACGTGCCCGAGCTTAAAACTGCTGATTACTTTTTTCTAAGCGGACTGGGATTGCCAGAAAGGCCAGAAAAGTGCAACTAGGGAGTGAAACCTTCCCATTTTTAATGAACTCTACAGCATATGCAGCCTGAATAGTTGCATAATGGAAGCTATCTTCACTTCATTCAAAATTTGCCCGCAGTGGGGATCGAGCCACAGGCTCTGGTTTCCACATGTTTTTCGGCATTTCTGTAGCCGCTCAGAAAAAGGATCCTCAATTATATGCCCCCTGCGCCGTGCGTGCCTCTATGACATACAAAAACCCTTCGAAAAAGCGCATTTGTTCTGAAAGATGTACTTGGTTAGGAAGGTGCAAAGTCTTTGGTAGCTTACCAACGAGAGGGTCGTACTTGTGTTTGCACTTTGTTAGTTGTGTGTTGCTGGTGGCGACGTTGAGGTCGTATTCGAGATTTCCCGAGGTGGCTCTGACGATGCATCGTTGCGGCAAAAGGAGAAAGGCGCCGTTTTTTGACGGATCGAGAGATGTTTGATAAAAACTTAAGAAATAGTGAGTGAATTGCACAAAAGATGATATTCATCGATGTTATCTGTTTCATAAGACGAACTAATCCCACTCTTCCCCTCCTCCTCCCTGTTTAGAAGGAAAAAGTGAGCGAAAGTTGGAGCGTGTACGGGTATCAGAAATGGTGGTACGAGTGGTGGCTGGGTTGCGAGATTCACATTCGTGGGTAGCCCCTTAACGTGTGGTGAAGGAGAGACGTTAATGAAAGTTTTGAACTCCTCCCAACATCACAGTTGAACCTCGGGCAGTTGACCCTCGGCAGGTTAACATTACTCCCAGTAGTCAGCAAATCTCGCCAATTGCGAGGTTCAAGCAATCCGCCAGCGACTGATTGCTGGCGCCTAATTGGTATGGTTCGGTCGTTCGTAGCTCCCGAAGCTATAGCGGATGGCGCGATTCCCTAGCAAGGTCGCAAAGTCTGGAATGTGCCGTAATGTGTGCACAAATGGGCGATAGCCAAATCTAATGTCGCAAGGCAAAGGTTCTGTTTTCAAGGGCTCAGTCGACTACGGAAATTGACAAAAAGCACCCGCTCCGAAGATGAGCTCTACTATATATGGTGTGGATTTTGTGTGGTCTATTTTGTACTAGTTGCACTGACTATTGTCCGAAATATAATGGACTATCAATTAAAAGAAGTGAGTTCAGCATTGCTGTGATCCACTGCAGTGTGAAATCACTGATAAATGATTTTTGTTAAGCGCTTAAGGCGTCAACATCAGAATGCCTATCAGCCGCCTCTTATGCAGCCTGTCCATCGGCGAAGACTATTACTTCCGAGAGATCAAGAAGTTGGAAATTTGAACCAGGACGATCCACCTCCATACTCAGTCAGTTTTTTTCTTTTCCAGATGGCATCTAACCTTATCGAACATCTGGGACGGTAGTAAAGTACTTTAGACTAGCAATCAAATGTGGTGATTTTTCCCCATTGACGAGGAACAAGGAACGTGGAAACATGGACATGACCCTTCTTGAAACCGCCAGCCTCGCCACACTACCTGCAAAACTTGCGCCACTCTCGGACTTGAACCCTGGATGACAGGACTCAAAGCCGGGTTTTTGCCAGTGCACCAGGGATCACTCGATCACAGCATCGGAAGAGGTCTTGACAACAGGTAAGCAACGGATGTTGTTTGCAAATCTTAGACTCCAAGCGGTGTAGATCCAGCAACCTTGCCAGCGGCAGCGTGGAACGTTCCTATTGAGCCATGGTAATTTGCCATAGTGGAAGTGAGCCCCACGTTGCCTGCAAACCTTGCGTCACACACGGGTTCGAACTTTCGGTGCACCGTCCCATGAGCGGCATCGTTACCACTGCACTAAGGAGCCCTTCTTATCGGCGGTGAAAGGTTGTAGAGAAAAGGGAATAGCCTACGAAGGTTGCAAACCTTTAGACTCTCGTAGTATTGATCCCGCGACTGATCCAACACCAACGTAGACCGCAGGCGCTACACCACTGACGAATCAATGCAAGGTGCCTCCCTTTCCCTTTCCAACACCGTGCTTTGACCCACGCACCTGGCAGTTTGAAGTTGGCCAACTCCAAAAAGTCCTCCGAAGGACTTTTTGCTGCGCGTAACGGGCGTCACCTGCGTCTCTCCAAACACATTGTATTTCGCCCCTCCGCGTCCCGTTTTCTGTCAGCGAGCCTTCCTGCGCGTTTTACGGCTGCGCGTAACAAGGAACCACCCTGCCAGGGAGCTGCAGCTCACCTGGGAAGCTTTCTTCAGAGTTTCATAAATAGGTCTCCTAGGTGCCATAGAAGCGATTTCCACCATCATCGGAAAAACTTGCACCTCCACGTTACGTGCTCATTAAAGCTGCCCGTTAACGTGCAAGTTTGGCTAGTTTACTACCGTCCCTGGTATCTGCTCATGCAAGTTAGCGTAGCGATTGCGACTAGATGTTGCTACTCCCGCACAGCGCATGTCCTAGGAGAGCATCCGTTATCTATCTAATCCCTTCCGTGAGGCACTGGCTGAATCGTTTGGTATAAGCGCAACTCAATCTCACTAAAATAAACTTCTTTTT